ACCCTGAGCAACGGAGAGCAACGCCTCTCTGGCAAACGAGGAAATGGCTAAATGAAGGAAAACCCCGAAAATAAACCACGATGGGTAGGCTAATCCCATGCTCATTCGTTAAATCGGATACCAGAAAAAAACAAAAAACGAAAACTTACATGACTTGGGAGATGAAAGCTACCCTCGATGTTGTGGCGGTATGAAGCAAGATTGTGAATGTTGCCAAACCTTTTATCGCCCAGGACAAAATCCTTTATAGGATGGTTAACATCAATACCATCCAGTTAACCTCACCTCCCAGTTGGTGCACCCTGAGCAACGGAGAGCAACGCCTCTCTGACAAACGAGGAAATGGCTCAATGAAGGAAAACCCCGAAAATAAACCACGATTGCTAGGTTAATCCCATGCTCATTCGTTAAATCGGATACCAGAAAAAACAAAAAACAAAAACTTACATGACTTGGGAGATGAAAGCTACCCTCGATGTTGTGGCAGTATGAAGCAAGATTGTGAATGTTGCCGAACCTTTTATCGCCCAGGACAAAATCCCTGTACTATGTACGAAGCTGATAAGGCAGCAACTATTGCAAAAGAGATGAGAAATTACAGAATTTTATTGCTTGGAATAAGTGAAAGAAAGCGAACAGATTATATTCTGTGGACACATTCAAGAATACACATAATACTGAAGGGGAGCGCTTATGTTACCCAAGGAAGCAAAGAAAGAATTCATTATCTTGGGAACCAGTAAGCTCAAGGATAAACTGCAAGTTTTAAAACAAGTCACAGACGGGTCCTAATAAAAACGATGAAAAAATATTAATGATAAAAAATTCTATAACCAACTACAGAGCATTTTGAAAATAAAAATAAATAAAAGTGTTAATGGGCGACATGAATGCCAAGCTGGGAGGTGACAACAAAACTTGTGAAAGGCAATATGTGCCGTAAATTAAAATGGAGAACGCTTTAGTAATTTATGTAATGAGAATGACATTTTAATAGGGGAATCACTATTTCTGCTTAAGAAGGTGCACAAAGGATTGAGGAAAGAATAACCGGACAAGAGGAAGACAAAGAAATGCCACTTTGTCCAACTACAATTCACAAAGAAAAGTGTAAAGAACGATAATAGTAGGGTCAATCTGGTATGTGATCCCTACTAAAACTGCAATAAAACGTTTTTTGATGTTTTTCTGTAGCATAAGGTCTACAGAAAAACATATCAAAGATGGCCGCCAAAATGGCGCAAATACTTAAAAAAACGGCTATAAATCAGGTAATTTTTGTCTTAGAATCGCAGGTTTCGTCTCTAATATAATGTTTTACGAGCAAAGAAACCCATTAAGACCATTTAGAATGTGATCTGATCAATAATGAACAGGTTCAAAATGGTGTCCAAGATGGCCGTCAAATATATTTGCATATCTATAATTCATAAACTAGTCACACTACAGTGCTAGTTTTAGCGGAAATTAATGTTTTCTTGGTCACAGAATATAGTGGTGCCATCTAAAATGTGATTAAATAACAAGGTTAACCAATAATTGAATTAATATAAAATTCAAAATGGATGAAATACCAGGTATAACTGCTATCACTTTTCTTGTGGAGCCGTGTTTTTTTGTTTAATATTATAAATAGCGAGTAATGTAAAAAATGAAACAGAGCAAATAAAACTGACAGATACGACTGGTATCTAGATAGGACGGTGTGCCATTCTCCTGAACTTTGAGTGAGTAATAACAATATAGCATAATATAACAGATAACAAAAAAACAAATGATATAGTAACAGGTGCAACAAAATTGTTAGGCACTTATCTATCTGATTGTAGACCATCTGCATCAGAAAGGCTGCCATGTCATCAAAGCTGAAGGAGATGCAGATGTAGATAATAGTAAAAGCAGCTCTTATAATGTCATCCTACAATTCAACAACCCTCATTTAGAGAAGACAGATTTGCTGGTCCTGTTAGTTTAAACAGATTGCAAAGACCTTTACTTTCTGTCAGACAAAGACAAAGAGAAACCAAATGTTTTTAACATCAAGGTACCGTACTGAAACATATACTAGGTGATGATATGTGCTGTAATCTGTAGTTGGTCCACGCATTCTCTGGTTGCGACACAACTTCAACAAGCATCTTTGGGATTGGCAAGAAGTCCGTCCTTCAAAAAGTTACGAAGAGCAGTCCTGTTCTACTTATTTTGCAGATCAGGCTACTATAGAAACAACTGGACTCAAAGTTTGTATCAATGTTTAAAATCAGTATCTCATATTATTACGTTACAATTTCCTTTGCAAGAAAGTGGTCACAGCAAGGGCTTTCGTAAAACCTTAATGGCCTCCAACAAACTCGGCCACAAACTTCCACTTTCGACGGACTTATTTCATGCTGTGGATGGGCACAGAATAGATGGACAATAAACCTGCACCTGCCACACTACTCAAAATAATACGATGCAACTGCTCTGCAGGATGCATTACATGAAAGTAGTTGCAGAAAACATGGGCATGAATGAACTACAGCTTGTGGACATTGCCAACTTGGCAACTATGACAATATAACAATATAACATGGTTTTACAAACTAGTACCTGTAACGACTTTTCGTTTTTAACAGTAGGTTAAGTTAATTCATATTACTTCATTATTTATTCTTCTTTTCCTCTTGGCGGCATTATTGTATGGGATTGTGACCCTGTGGAGATATTTTAGCATAGGGCTATTCCCTCAAAGTACAGGAGAATGGCACACCGTCCTATCTAGATACCAGTCGTATCTGTCAGTTTTATTTGCTTTGTTCAATTTTTTTACATTATTAGTCAATTACCATTCGTTGCTGTCCGTTTTATTTGCTTTGTTTCATTTTGTTCCCTACTATGAATACCATTATTCGCTGTTTTTAATATCAAACACAAAAGCACGACTAAACAAGAAAAGTGCTTGATAGTAGTTAAACCTAGTATTGACTCAAGTTTGAATTTTATATTTATTCAAATATTGATTAACCTTTTTATTCAATCACATTTTAGATTGTACCAATAGATTCTATGACCAAGAAAACATAGGGATTGCAACTGAAACCACCACAGTAAGGTGACTAGTTTATGACTTATATATATATATATGCAAAAATATATGGCGGTCATCTTGGAAGCCATTATTACTTCGTTAATTATTGATTTGATCACATTCTAAGTGGACTTAATAGGTTTTTTCATCTCATTTCAAGGTATTGACGCCTTTTTGGAGGCCATCTTGTAAAAACCGTTTTCTGGTGGTCCGTTTTTTCTAACTTTTGATATGTTTTCTATGGACCTTATTCTACAGAAAAACATCAAAAAACGGGGTTTTTTTCATATTTTTACTATACTATAAGAAGAAATTAGTAGCAGAACTAACACACAGGCAGAAAGGGTAGCTTTAAAAAATGACATGAAGGAACTTTATTCAATCACATAAAAACTTGCAGATAACAACAAGCAAGCAACTATCAAAGACCAGTGAAGGACAAAAAAGGTAATTATAGAACTGTATAATCAATGATAAAACAAAGCACAATTTGATATAAACTTATTGCGACCTCGTATCAACCGAGTATTTTGAAAGACTGTAGAATCGACCATCATTAGATGGTGTGATAGATATTCAACCAGCTGAAAACAGTCTTGTACTAAACCAAAAACGGAAGAGATCAAGAAAGCTATAAAACATTTGAAGAATTTAAAGGAAAGTCACCGGGACCAGATGAGATTCCAGTTGAAGCTTTTAAAGCACAGCAACAAAGATCAAAATATTCAACTCAAATGTTAAATCTGTATTGTTATACAGATCTGAAACATGGGAAATACCAGAATATGGTGGCCTGAAGAAATAAGAAATAAAGATCATTGGGAAAGGATGAGACAGACGCTGTGGAAACTGAGATTGGCAGAAGGAAATGAACATGGATTGGTCACTCATTGAGGAAACAAAGAATCAACATAATGAGACAAACCCTTACATGGAATCCATAAGTTTAAAAAAAACAGAGGATGCCCTAGAAACACATAGAGGAGAGGATTGGAAAAGGAGATGAGGAAGACTGGTTACAATCTGACAGAGGTGGAACAAGTTGCTCAGAACCGTGTAAGATGGAGACCAATGTTATTTATCCATTGTGTTCACGGTGCTACACAGCAAAACTATTTAGAATATATAATATATATATAATATATATATATA